CGTGAGCAATCTCGCGAGTCCAATGCCGCAGGCGAGGTGACCCCACCCAACCCAGAAACAGAGGACTCGTCAGATAATGAGGGGGAGAAAGAAGAAGTATACAAAATGGCGGATGCAGACACCACCGAAAGGGGGGAAGTCACACACACGCAGTCGAGAGGGCCCTACTCTGAGGCCATAAATGAGCTGCAACGCAGGATTTCTCAGAGTAAATGGGTCAATAAAAGCAAGTATGGGATCCCAGGGCCACCCCATATAAGACCTGCGGCTCTACCTCCCAACCCGCATCTTGCAGGGGGCCCAAGTCGAGCCCGCCGCGATTAAGGGCGCTCCAGCTCGGAGGCCCCGGAGATCCTTCTACACCCTTATCTGGGAAAGGGTCCTCCAGTTTACCACTTGTGACCCCCTGGATAGATACTCCCAGGAGATATTATGGGGATTCTCCCTGGCCACCATAAACACCACAAATATGACTTCTAAATTGCTCCACCGCAACCTGTTATATGTTACAATGTTGGGATAACAGTGCACTTTCAGCTGTTGTTATGCAGGTACTCCAATTCGCACCGGTTCCAGTTATGGCGGACTCAGACGAGTTTCCTGTGATCCAGCTCGGGCCAACTCTCCAATTGGCTTTCATAAAGGAATGGGTAGGAACAGGGGCTCTGGCTACCATGACTACACTTGCCGCATTCGGCAGTCTACTTCTGCTCTGTCGGATTCACAGACAAAGGAATAGGGACAAAGTATCAAACAAGCATTGCTGATCATGGAATCTGGTCAAAGCCCGGCAGCATGGCTCACCATGCTGTGACGCAGGTGTGGAGCAAAGCATCACAGGGGGTGTTGTCCTTGGCCAGGAGACACCCCGGTCCCCATGTTGGTGAGCATGCGGGTTGGGCTCATAAAACAATACTCCCGCCCCCTCCAAAAGAGCACCAACAAGTAGTGAGGCACTGTCATGACTGCGCAGCATGACGCCTCACGAGGGGCACCAACCTCTGGAGACCCTGCATCAGTTATAAAGAAAGGGGGAGATGTTGGGCACAGGCGCTCAACATACTATACCCCAGCCTAAGGACTAAGGACCACGCCAGCTTCCGCAATGCACTACGTTCCTCTTTAAATTAGCCAACCCGTGCGCACCCCGCGCTCCACTCCGTACTCTGTGGCAACTCCTGTTTGGCCACAGCTGGATATAGTAGCCAGAGCCTGCATCCCATTCCCGCCCTGCTTCCTTGTGGCAGCCTGTGATTGGTCACGGCCAAATATATAAACCAGAGCCCGCGTAAATAAACGAGCAGTTAACTGTCGTCCACAAGATCATCTCCTGTTTCATTGGGGCTGCGCCGGTCAGATGAAGTGATATTTTGTGCTGGCAACTAGCAAAGTCATTTGTGAGGGTCTCTCCAAAGAGGGTCAGCAGGTCTTTGAACCTCTAGGAAATTCAATAACCTTCTTACCATCTTTTGACTCTTAGTTGAGTTTTAAGTTAAGAACTCGGGTCTTTTGTCATGGCCCTTGCAGCTTCTAAAGTTCTTGGGGTCAAGGACTGCAAGAGGATGAGAAAAATGAAGAAAAGACAAAGCTGGGGTCAGGTGAAGCACTTATCCTCCTTATGGGAGGAAAGGTACTGCCAACCAATGCAGCATGTTTATTTATATACTGGGAAGTATAATGTCAATTTCAGCCTCTCTGCCTAGCAACCCATTGCTTGGATTGTCTAGGAGTTTGGTGTTTTTTTCTGGACTGTAGCAACTTCTTCACGTGGCTGACCTGAGAGCTCTTTGTTTTTTGGTAGGATCATGTCTGGGTAATGCCCTAGATCAATTTCCAGCTTCAATGGCTCCCAACAGTCTTTTCTATTTAAAGGTGAAGAGGGTATGGCTGTCAGGTGTCAACCAAAGGCATGAGAATACATCCTTTATGTCCAGACAGGTATACTAGCAGGCTGTGGGTGGTAGAAGATTGAAGCAGTGTAAATGTGATTAAGACTGCAGGATGGCAGTATACTACCACAGATTCCTCATTAGCTTCCTATACAGGAAGGAGAGGTGTAAGCCTCTAGATGTGTGATTGAATTCCTAGTCAGATCTCTCATGACGTGGGGTACCGTTTGATGCAGGTTGCTCCTGGATGGAGTTTCATAGAGGCAGGAGAGTGATGGCCCAAACTGAGGCTAAGAGAGTCTTGAGAATTTCTGGGTTGGTTTCATCTGTGTGTGTACCCATCAATTGCCATTTTTTTGGTAGGAAACCATGACAGCAAGCAAGAAATGTGGTTGTCGAGCTGAAAGGGACAGTAAAATAGGATGACCCAGAGAAAAGGTGCTTGTGGCTTGGCCAAATCTGTTGCTACATCCTCCCTGAAAGTAGTGAGAGGGTTCTCATTCCCTTGTGGCAGTTGAGTCCAAATGAGTTTGCCTTTTTGTCTTGTTTCCGGGTCTTCCCAGCTGAAGGCCAAAAGGGATCAATTTATGAAGCAAGCAACCAGCAGGAAAAGGAATCTTTTAAATCTAGACAAGTAAACCAAGAATCTAAAGATAGCAGTCTAAAAGTGGGTATGAATTGGGAACTGCAGAGTGCAATATGGTATCTGCATTGTTGAGGGTTTAAAGATCATGCACTTGCTGGTAATCACCACTAGCCCTCTTCACTGGGAGGACAGGGGGGGTTTGAGGTAATTGATAGTCTCTCAGGCTATCAAACTGTTTTGGGTGGCCAGTATGTGGCTGGATTCCTGTTTGTGCTTCCTGAGACATAGGATATTGTCTGACAGCATTGGGGTCACAACAGTTCAAGTACTAGAGAGCATGATGCATTGTCAAGCTCAAAGATGAATCCTCAGCTCATGTTTCTAGGAGGAATGTTTTCAGAATTTCAGGATTATGATTATCTGTCTTAGGCTAATGCAGGTATTATTCTTTCTCTCAGGGAAGAGTCAGAATTAGGATGAATTTTGACGTTTCAGGGTTAAATAAGAGGAAAGCTAGTGTGAAGGACATAATTGATTTTAACTTGGAAAAGAGGTCTCTTCCCAGAAGTCATATGGGACATTCTGGAATATGCAGGAATTCATGTTCAGTGAGATGTCCTCTCAGGCTGCAAGTTCATATTTGGCAGAAGGGATAAGAAGCAAGAGTTCAGTTTGATGGTCCTTGTGACATAGGTAGGGGCAATAGGTTGGCTGTCTACCATCATAGGTTGGTCCCCAACACAGATGTGGAATGTGGGCTCCCAGTGACCCAGCTAAAGAAGAGAGCCCAGTCTGTTCTAGTTTGAGGCCATACGACTGATCAAAAAGTTGTCATTTGATCCTGATTGAAGCTTTGGGAGTCCTTATCATTTAGTCTGAATGGGAACTTATTTTTCTACATATCTCTTTTAACATGCATATGAGTCTTTGACCAGAGGGTATGGTCGTCTATCAGGCTGGATTTTCTCATGGATACCTGGTGCTGCCTGTGCAATGAAGACTACGTTTACCATCTATAGATTTTCTGGGACCTCATGAGTAAAAGGAGTGTAGACCTGTAGGATTTACAGAGTTTTTCATAAAAGTCTTGAGGTCTTTTATTAGGCTACTAGATGCAGTAGTAACTTTTGACACATTGATGTCTTTGAAAAGTGCTTGACTTGAGTTGCTTTGTTTGTTTATGCTGAATTTTATGCTCCTAGGTGGAGTGACCTCTGGGAATGGCCTTGGAAAACTATTGATCTGGGCTGACAGTTCATGGAGGAGTCTTTCCTTTTGATCAGTTTTTTCTCAGGCAAAATGCAGTAGCATTTCGGTGCTGAACAGTTAGGAGGAGTTCCTGACAGACATCCCAAGTAGATATTAGATGACATCATTTGACCAGGATATACATGTATAGTTGTGAAGCAGAAGGCTCTAGGTGTGAGGAGGTCTGTGGCCAACTGCAGGCAGTGACTGATAGGACTTCCCACAGTGGGGAGTAGAGAGACAGGCTGGTGTAGAATGATGGCCAGAATGAAATCAATTGGCTGGAAGTAGATGAGTTGGGAGCCAGGGGGAAGAGGACCAGCCTGATAGGACTGCAAGTTTTGGCAGCAGGTGCAGGCCCTGGTGGCAGATAAGGGGTGATTCATCTGCCAAGATGGAATTCTCAGGAAGAATGAATCTTTCTTTAGATGCAAGGAGTCTTGTTTAGATGCAGAGCCTTTCATTTTATCTTTATAATCACCAGAAAAGTCTTTCTTAAATTCTTGAGGTGGCAGTCAGTGACCATGGGTTTGGACTAGTTACTTTCTGACTCCCTATGTGTGAGATATAACCTTGAATGGTGACAAAACAGAGGTGGGGCATCTTCTGAGGAGGACCAATCAGACAGGACTTCCCACAGCAGGGAGTGGAGAACGGTGCAAAACCAAGACAACCTGGCCATGCCCCTCACAGCATATTTCAGCATGACTCAGCTAAAGAGAGTTCAAGGCTTCCATTACACCACACACCCTTTATCACTGTAAAAAAAAAAAAAAAAATTAAACGAATTTCATAAGATCATTCTTTTTTTACCCCCTACCCCTTTATCACTGTTTTTTTAAAATAAATTAATTTCATGATAAGAACATTCTTTTTTTTTTAACCACTTCAGTACTGACCACCCAGCCTTGGTTATCATGAAAAAAAGTACTTGAATGCCCAACAATAAGAACTTCAATAAATTATTAGAGGATGCTATTTTATCATAAATTCAATTTATTGAAACATTTTTCCTTAAAATGTTTAGAGCTGGGGATGTTCCTCAACGGTAGACACTCACCTAGTATATGGAGGGCTTGAGTTTGAGTTTGATCCCCAACGGTACAAAACCAAGACAAATAACAAAAAATGGTCATAATATAAAGACTGCTCAAAAATATAGTGAATGTTTAAGTTAAAATTTTATTACACTAGAAGGCACATTGCCATTAATCTCTTCAAATTGTTGCTTCTCACTTTGAATGTACTTAACCATCTTTCTTTGCATTTTCAGAAGCAGTTTTGGAAATTCCTTCATGACTGTCCTCACAAGATTCATCAAAATTACAGGAATGCTTCTGCCAAGTGCCATACAACTGAAAAGCAGCCTTGCAAAAACATGAATTACTGATTTCAGGATACTGATACAATTACTAATTGTAGATACTGTTGTCAGCATCTCTTCCATTTCGTCTGGCATCCCTACTGTGAGAGGCTGGAAAGTGAAAAAACTACATTGCCAATGAGAGCTTGCATTCCTCTGACAGCACTATTGCTAGAAAATCAGACCTTGTCCCAGCCTGTGGGTAAGTCCATGGAGACCCTAGAGGGGGAGTGGGGATAAAGGAAACGAGACGCAAAGAATGGAGACAAGAGGAAGTCCGTCAATCAAGTCTCGTTTATTCAAGGAAGGAGTATCAAATACATAGGGTATTGGGGAGGGAGGATTTGGGTTCAGCATGTAACTTAGCAACAGTGGCAAGACCAAGGGTTATAGGTCAATTCAAATTCCTAAAGTGGGCTGATTAACATAATCCCTGATAGGCCAGGCCAAACAAGCTAGGTAGGCAAGGTGCTGCTTAACTACCAAACTTAACTCCTAGAGGGAGTTAAGGTGGTGTGGCCTGCAGATATAAGGTGGCAGCCAATTACAGGGCTTCCCACAAGACCTGGTTAAAGTTTTGATGTTCACATGCATTCATGCCACATTTCAGTGTGGAACCCATCTAAATGGTGAGACATATGATGTTGATTCATCCAGCACTGTTAGGATAAATCTGGTGCCAATTCATCAATGTTCTGACATCCAGATTGCAGCCTAGGCGAGATAGTCTTGCAGGCCACAGGCAAGCCATCAAACCATTTTTTCTTTAGTCCGTAGCTTTCTAATTGTCATCATGAGTAGCTTGCAGGGTGAAGTCCTCTAGGACAGGCCCAGGTTTCAGTCCCACTGAGGCCAAGATATGTATCTCCCAGAGTGGTTTTGGGGTTTAAGACATTTGCATCTCTCATAGTGAGAGTTCAACCCAACTTTGGAGAACCAGCTGCTTCATGGGCAGCCCCAGCCTTTCTGAGAAAAAACAGGGGCTGCAATGGCAACTGCCTCTGCTGTCTCAGAGCATCCTGGTAGGTTGGCAGAGGCAGTCATGCCTGTTGGGGTTTGGGGATTTGGGCATATCATCAATATGTTCCAGTCCCTTCTCAATCTTTGTTGATAAGGGCAGAACTTCTACCACTCCCTAGAAAGTTAGAAGCAACAGTGCAGAGGGCTGCTACAGGGAAGAAATTAGTAGTTGTTATTGTTGAAGCTGCCAGCCTATTTATTCACCTACAGAAGGTCATGGATGTTGATTTATCCAGCTTTGTCAGCTACAGCAGTGGCCAGAAAATCTGGAATTAATTGCCCAGGGCAACACACACAGCTTTGAGGAGAGGAGTAATAGCTGTTAGGATGTCAGAGGGAAAAGCTCCTTAAGACTCAGGCCTCATTTTTATCACCTATAGTACCACAAATAATACCATTTTAAGTCTTAACATTTCCATTTTTCACAGGAAGTTAGAGAGGTCTTAAACGATAGGAAGGTATATAAATTCACATATTTATAGTGTGGTAACCTAAACATTATAGTCTCCAAACATTCTTCATGTATCTAATCAGTGACATATTTTCTCTGTAGAATTTAGGTACATCCTTTTTGTTCAGTATACACTCTGAAGAGTATAGTGTGTGATTCTTGGTGTTTATTATTTTACTGTACTAAAATGGAATAAATTATTTTTTATTAAAGTTAATGCATCAAAAAGTTATATTAGGTGACACATAGTAACTGGATAAGCCTTACTGAGGCAAAGCTAGCTTTATTAAAGTTCGTGGAGATGCTTAGTAAACTCAAGTAAGAGCTAAACAGCCATGTATTCAATAGGAAATTGAAGCATATTTGAGGTGAAGCAAACTTTATTGAAGAGTTAGTAGACATGCTCAGTGAGTAAAAGTAAGAGCTAAACATCCAGGTATTCAATAAAAAAAGATGAAAGCATGAGCAGCTTTCAAGGCTTACAGGCATTATTTAGAGTACACAGAAAAAATAACTCACTGCTTAATCTCCAACATCTCTATCTCATTCTATTTTTCAAGCTATCAGTACATATAAACATGTATAGAGGTTATCTCTAGGTAAATCACAAAAGTCAAGTAGTGAGTGACAGCCCTCACTCAGCTGCTTATACTCACTTTCCCTCAGGTGGGTTGAAACAGTAGAGACTGCCATGAAGAAGAAAAAAAAGTGTTAGGGAAGTGAAAGCAATTCAAACCCATAGTTTGGCTCATGTTTACATGTGCACATATGGGAGCATAGGCACTTCTCACAGAAATACTTCTGTGGAGAAGGTCAAAATAACTAGCAACTGAGTGCATTGCAAGATCACTAAATGTAGACATAAAGACGTGCCCCAAAGGCCATGTGGCAAATTCAGCCTTTACTATGGTAAAATATTAGAAGATGCAATTTACATGGAATACCATTTGTCATTTGCAAATTTAACTATTTAATTTTCTTTCCCCTGTATAGGAAGTGTGATTTGAAAAAAATGTGCATTTTTAATTTTAAAAATGCACTACAGAGCAGACTTGCCCTAGAGGAGAAGTACCCACCTTTGGGGGATGAGCAGAGATGTGCTGTGGCACCTGCGCCCGTGTGTAAAAGCACATCACTGCCAGAGCGGTGATGCCCACCCCCAAGGAAGTGAATAGACCTTTACCAGAAGACAGGCATCCACCCCTGTGTGCCTGAACTGAACCATGCTGGAGGAGCGTGTCCGTTCCCAGAGCAGCAGGCACACACACTGGTTAAGCAGCACCCTTCTATCAGATACAGCATGTAGCAACAGAGGCAAGGAATAATCAGTCTGTCTGATCCTAGCCTAGGACAGCACCAGAAAGATAAGGGAATAGCTACACCACATACCTGGGGATATTTAAGTTCCACAACTGTTATGGTTGATACATTGTATCAGTTTGAGCAGTTTAGAAGTTTAATTAAGAGACTCAGCAAGGAGCCAGCATCTTACTTTGTAAATATCCTCATGTTGTACCAGAGGATGGCAAAATTTTGCCAGTGCTACTCTGGCCTCGGGAGTAGAGGGGTGGCCTGAATACAATATAAGGAAGGAAGAGAGGCTTGCTCTTCCCCCTTTTGCTCTGGCTGCTTTACCTGGCTGCTGCCTTGGAAGTGTTGCCCCAGTGCCATGCCACCCTGCCTTGGAGCCAGCCAATTTTGAACTTCAACCTCCACAAACGTATACTAAATGAACCTTTCTTACTTTCTTTTGGGGTTCTGGGTAGTTTGTCCAGCAATGAGATAAAAGTAACCAAAACAACAACCCACATCAGCTTCTGCCCCATGGTCTGCATGCAGCAAAGAGGGCTGACCATATTCCCCATCTACCAATGGCAGGAGAGATATGCCTTTTCTTGATGATAACCAGAATCTGATGAACTTGACCAAGATGCCTTCTGGTACAGAGAAGGCTCTTTAAAAACCTGTAGGACCTAAAGCTAGGCACTGAAAATCTAGTGCCTAGATTTTGGCACTCGATTGGCTGGGTCCTAGGATTCCAAATCTTGGAAAGAAACTACTCCTTAATAATACTGGAATTGTTTTCTTTGCCTCAATATTTTTTAGTTTTTCTATTTTCTATTAATTTTATTTGTTTTTGAGAGTTTTATATTTTTCTTCACATATTACTTTTGCTTTTACTCTTTTCTCTTTTTCACTTCAACTTTATTTTGCTTACTTTTTAATGTTTTAATAAACATGTGTATCTTTTTCTTGTCCATTTTTCATCAGTTGTTAATTTTATTGATATTAATTTTCTTTACTCCTCAGTTCAATCACATATTTTATTGTACTCTCACCTTTCTTATAGCCACATTTCAAATTTTGCTTTTTTCATTCACTTATTCCCCACCGACTGCACTTTTAATGATATAATTACTAAACTTCGTAAATATCTGAATACCTAACTTTATACTATTGCTATTGAATACTGTACAATGCTTAGTAGAGGTAAAGTTGTTTTCATTAATAGATATTTACTATAGAGTAATGGTAAGCAATATTTGGTTTCTCTCGCTGTTCACACTATAATTATTCATATCTTTTCTATGGAGAGGGATGCTCATTTTGTATTTGATACTCTAATTGATGCTGCTTTTATTACTTTAGCAAAATGGCATAATTGCTACCAATTATTGGTTTTCTTAAAATACCAATATCTGATTGCCTTGGATCATTAATGATTCTGTGGCCCATTCGTGGAAAACTGTGTAATGGGCCAAATATGCTACAAACTTCCACCTTAAAGACACATAGGTGGTTAGATCTTGGGAGACAGGCAAAGGTCAGTACCTACCAATGCCCAGAGGACACTGCTACAGAGTAGATAGTAACTAATGAGAGCTCCATACAAGAAACAAACTTTCCACTAAGATTAACCTGTAAGTCTCTGCCCAGAAAAACAAACAAGAAAATGTTTTACTGATAAATACACTCAAAATACTACATTTTGGTGGATCTTATCATGATTTGATACAAGCCAGTATCTTAGTGCCAGTATCATATTTAAATAGGAAAAATTAACATCTGTCCCTCTAAATTAAGAAGACAGGGATGTCCAGTATCACTGCTGTCCAGCATATTACTTGAATCATTAGCAAGAGCAATTAAGTGAGAAAAGCAAATTAAAAGGATGTATATCATGAAGGAAGAAATAAAATTATGTTTATTTGCAGATGACATGATCCTCCACATCAATGACCCAAAAAGCTCTTAGAATTAATAACCAAACTGAGTAATGTAGCAGTCTAAAAAGTACAAGTCAGAATATTCAGTACTATTCCTGTAGACTTATAATGAATCTGATGAAAAAGAATTATGAAAACTATACCATCTGCAATGGTAGCAGAAAAGTTAAATGCTTAATAATTAACCTATGGAAGTGAAATACCTCTACAATGAAAACTACAGCACTCTGAAAAAGGAAATCAAGGATCACATCAGAAGATGGAAAGATAGATTATCAAGAAAACATGGCGGACAGACAACAGCAACTTCTGAACGCTCTCTAAAGGCTCGGCTCAGAGGCCAGAAATGATGCGGACTAAGGAGATACAAACCAGTAGAGATATGCTCTGCTGACTCAGGAACGAACTGGGCTGAGAGAATCCAACTTGGAATACAGTCCTGGCGCTAAAATAGGAACAGAAAAATCTCGGTGTGGAGGCTCGACTCCGCGCCATTAGAAACCG